CAAAGGACACAGATGGATTCATGACAAAATTGTGTTTTGGTGATGGTGATGTGTTTGTAGATCTTACTTTACTGAACATTCTTGCTCCTTACTTATTATCTCTATCTATAATGAACTTGGCCCGGTAGTTACAGTGGAAAATACTTTGTAAAAATTTACAAAAATTTACAAAATTTATGAAAATTGTAAAAAATTGACTATAAAGGGCAATAACTCCTTAAGGGGTCAATTGACAATTTTGGTCATGTTGCCTTATTTGTAGATCTCTATCTATAATGAACTTGGCCCGGTAGTTACAGTGGAAAATACTTTGTAAAAATTTACAAAAATTTACAAAATTTATGAAAATTGTAAAAAATTGACTATAAAGGGCAATAACTCCTTAAGGGGTCAATTGACAATTTTGGTCATGTTGCCTTATTTGTAGATCTAACTTTGCTGTACATTATTGCTGTTAACAGTTTATCTCTATCTATAACAATATTCAAGATAATAACCAAAACCTGCAAAATTTTCTTAAAATTACCAATTCAGGGGCAGCAACCCAACAACGGGTTGCCTGATTGGTCTGAAAATTTCAGGACAGATAGATCTTGACCTAATGAACAATTTTTTCCTCATCAGATTTGCTCTAAATGCTTTGGTTTCAGAGATATGAGCCAAAAACTGCATTTTACCCTATGTACTATTTTTTAGCCATGTCGTCCATCTTGGTTCGCGGGCGGGGTCATCGGACACATTTTTTAAACTAGATACCCTAATGATGATTGTGGACAACTTTGGTTAAATTTGTCTTAGTGGTTTCAGAGGAGAAGATTTTTGTAAAAAATTACAAAAAATTACGAAAAATGGTTAAAAATTGACTATAAAGGGCAATAACTCCTTAAGGGGTCAACTGACCATTTTGGTCAAGTTGACTTATTTGTAGATCTTACTTTACTGAACATTATTGCTGTTTACAGTTTATCTCTATCTATAATAATGTTCAAGATAATAACCAAAAACTGCAAAATTTCCTTAAAATTACCAATTCAGGGGCAGCAACCCAACAAGGGGTTGCCTGATTGGTCTGAAAATTTCAGAATTTCAGAGCAGATAGATCTTGACCTAATGAACAATTTTATCCTCATCAGATTTGCTCTTAATGCTTTGGTTTCAGAGATATGAGCCAAAAACTGCATTTTACCCTATGTACAATTTTTTAGCCATGTCTGCCATCTTGGTTCGCGGGCGGGGTCATCGGACACATTTTTTAAACTAGATACCCTAATGATGATTGTGGACAAGTTTGGTTAAATTTGTCTTAGTAGTTTCAGAGGAGAAGATTTTTGTAAAAGATTACAAAAATTTATGAAAAATGGTTAAAAATTGACTATAAAGGGCAATAACTCCTTAAGGGGTCAAATGACCATTTTGGTCAAGTTGACTTATTTGTAGATCTTACTTTGCTGAACATTATTGCTGTTTACAGTTTATCTCTATCTATAATAATGTTCAAGATAATAACCAAAAACGGCAAAATTTCCTTAAAATTACCAATTCAGGGGCAGCAACCCAACAACGGGTTGTCCGATTCATCTGAAAATTTCAGGGCAGATAGATCTTGACCTGATAAACAATTTTACCACCTTGTCAGATTTGCTCTAAATGCTTTGGTTTCAGAGATATAAGCCAAAATCTACATTTTACCCCTATGTTCTATTTTTAGCCATGGCGGCCATCTTGGTTGGTTGGCGGGGGTCACCGGACACATTTTTTAAACTAGATACCCCAATGATGATTGTGGCCAAGTTTGGTCAAATTTGGCCCAGTAGTTACAGAGGAGAAGATTTTTGTAAAAGTTTACGGACGACGGACGACGGACGACAGACGCCAAGTGATGAGAAAAGCTCACTTGACCTTTCAGGTCAGGTGAGCTAAAAAGGGAAAAAAAATCACCCCCCCAAATTTTTTGAACCCCCTTATGATTCATCACCCCCAAACTCAATCTCAGCCTTCCCTTTGTGGTATGGTACCTTGCAGTACAATTTCAGAGAGATCCATACACTTGAACACAAGTTATTGTCTGGAAACTAGAAAAATGCTTGTTTTTTGGCCCCTTTTTGGCCCCAAATTCCTAAACGCTTAAGGCAATTACCCCCGAACTCAATTCCAGCTTTCCCTTTGTGATATGGAACCTTGCAGTACAATTTCATAAAGATCCATACACTTACACACAAGTTATTGTCCTGAAACTAGAAAAATGCTTGTTTTTTTTGCCCTTTTATGGCCCCTAATTCCTAACATTTTGAGGGAATTACCCCAAAAATCAATCCCAGCCTTCCCTTTGTGGTATGGTACTTTGCAGTAAAATTTCAGAGAGATCCATACACTTGAACACAAGTTATTGTCTGGAAACTAGAATAAACTGCTTCGCTGAGCGCAGATGGATACGCCCTAAGGTCCAACCCTGAACAGTTGGGGCAAAAATGGACACAATATTCAAGCTTGATACAGGTCTGAATTTGGATTGTATTAAATATTTGACATATTATAGGTTTCTGAATAAATGTAGTCTAAGAACTTGAAATTGGTTATATGAATTGAATTTATATTCAATTAAAGATTTCTTGCTGTTGTGCAATACACTGTGCTGTTGTGCAATACTTAGTAAATCTGTTGTCAGACTATAAACAAATAAAGTTCAATTAATTCTCAATGTCAATTTAGAAATTTATGAAAATGTAAAGGGAGCTTACATCAATAGATATAAACAATTCACCAAAGTTTCATGAGAATTGCTGTCAGCATTTTTGAGTTATTGTCTGAAAACTGAAAAATCCCCCCTTTTTTAATGAATAAAACCCCATAACTCAGAAATGTAAAATGTAAAATTTATAAAATTCTAAACGGAGCTTACATCAATAGATATAAACAATTCACCAAAGTTTCATACTAACTGCTGAAAGCATTTTTGATTTTTTGTTCGAAAACTGGAAAATCCCCCTTTTTCTATGAATAAAACCCTGTAACTCGGAAACGTAAAATCTAAAATACATAAAAATTGAAAGGGAGCTCATGTCAATAGATATAAACAATTCACCACAATTTCTTGCAAGTTGGTGAAAGCATTCTTGAGTTATTGTCCGAAAACTGGAAAATCCCCCTTTTTTTAATGAACAAAACCCCATAACTCGGAAACGTAAAATCTAAAATTTATAAAAAACGAAAGGGAGCTCACGTCAATAGATACAAACAATTCACCAAAGTTTTATGCAAATTGGTTAAAGCGTTTTTGAGTTAATGTCCGACATGTTGACGAAGGACGGACAGACGGACGGACAGACAGACGGACAGAGGTATACCATAATACGTCCCGTAAACGGGCGTATAAAAATGCTTATTTTTGGCCCCTTATTCCTAAACTTTTTGGGCAATTACCCCCAAACTCAATTCCAGCTTTCCCTTTGTGATATGGAACCTTGTAGTAAAATTTCATAAAGATCCATACACTTACACACAAGTTATAGTCATGAAACTAGAAAAATGCTTGTTTTTTTCCCCTTTTTGGCCCCTAATTCCTAACATTTGAAGGCAATTACCCCCAAAATCAATCCCAGCATTCCCTTTGTGATATGGAACCTTGTGAAACAAGGTCAGAGAGATCCATTCACTTACACACACGTTATTGTCATGAAACTAGAAAAATGCTTGTTTTTTGCCCCTTGTTGGCCCCTAATTCCTAAAATTTGGAGGCAATTACCCCCAAAATCAATCCCAGCATTCCCTTCATGATATGGAACCTTGTGGTACAATGTCAGAGAGATCCATACACTTACACACAAGTTATGTCTGGAAGTTACAAAAATACTTATTTTTGGCCCCTTTTTGGACCCTAATTCCTTAACTGTTGGTACCATAACCCCCAAAATCAATCCCCACCTTCCTTTTGTGGGATTGAACCTTATGGTAAAATTTCATTGAGATCCATTCACTTAAACTAAAGTTAGAGTGCGAAAACTATTGTGTCTTCGGATGACGACGCCGGACGACGACGCCAACGTCATACCAATATACGACCACAAAAATTTTTTTGCGGTCGTATAAAAACTGCAAAATTTTTGTAAAATTACTAACTCAGGGGCAGCAACCCAACAACGGGTTGTGGGATTCGTCTAAAAATTTTCAGGGCAGATAAATCTAAATCTGATGAACATTTTTGCCACCTGTCAGATTTGCTCTAAATGCTTTAGTTTAAGAGATATAAACCAAAAACTGCATTTTACCCCTATGTTCTATTTTTAACCAAGTCGGCCATGATGGTTGGAAGGCAGGGTCATTGGACAAATTTTTTAAACTAGATACCCTAATAATGATTATGGCCAAGTATGGTTAAATTTGTCTCAGTAGTTTCAGAGAAGAAGATTTTTGTAAAAGATTACAAAAAATTGTTAAAAATTGACTATTAAGGGCAATAACTCCTAAAGGGGTCAACTGACAATTTTGGTCATGACAACTTATTTGTAGATCTTACTTTGCTGAACATTATTGCTGTTTACAGTCTATCTCTTATCTATAATAATATTCAAGATAATAACCAAAAACTGCAAAATTTCCTTAAAATTACCAATTCAGGGGCAGCAACCCAACAACAGGTTGTCAGATTTGTCTGAAAATTTCAGGGCAGATAGATCTTGACCTGATAATTAGTTTTATCCTATGTCAGATTTACTCTAAATGCTTTGGTTTCAGAGATACAAGCCAAAATCTACATTTTACCCCTAAGTTCTATTTTTAGCCATGGTGGCCATCTTGGTTGGTTGGCGGGGGTCATTGGACACATTTTTTAAACAAGATACCCTAATGATAATTGTGGCCAAGTTTGGTTAAATTTAGCCCAGTGGTTTCAGAGGAGAAGATTTTTGTAAAAAGCTAACGACGACGGACGACAGATACCAAGTGATGAGAAAAGCTCACTTGGCCCTTCGGCTAGGTGAGCTAAAAAAATAAATAATCCCCCCCAAATTTTTTGAACCACCTTATGATTCATCACCCCCAAACTCAATCCCAGCCTTCCCTTTGTGGTACGGTACCTTGCAGTACAATTTCAGAGAGATCCATACACTTGAACACAAGTTATTGTCTGGAAACTAGAAAAATGCTTGTTTTTTGGCCCCTTTTTGGCCCCAAATTCCTAAACGTTTAGGGAAACTACCCCCAAACTCAAACCCAGCTTTCCCTTAGTGATATGGAACCTTGTAGTACAATTTCATAAAGATCCATACACTTACACACAAGTTATTGTCCTGAAACTAGAAAAATGCTTGTTTTTTGCCCCTTTTTGGCCCCTAATTCCTAAAATTTTGAGGCAATTACCCCCAAAATCAATCCCAGCCTTCCCTTTGTTGTATGGTACCTTGCAGTACAATTTCAGAGAGATCCATACACTTGAACACAAGTTATTTTCTGGAAACTAGAAAAATGCTTATTTTTGGCCCCTAATTCCTAAAATTTTGAGGCAATTACCCCCAAAATCAATCCCAGCTTTCCCTTTGTGATATGAAACCTTGTAGTACAATTTCAGAAAGATCCATACACTTACACACAAGTTATTGTCATGAAACTAGAAAAATGCTTGTTTTTTGCCCCCTAATTCCTAAAATTTTGAGGCAATATTACCCCCAAAATCAATCCCAGCATTCCCTTTGTGATATGGAACCTTGTGGTACAATGTCAGAGAGATCCATACACTAACACACAAGTTATGTCTGGAAGTTACAAAAATGCTTATTTTTGGCCCCTAATTCCTTAACTGTTGGTACCCTAACTCCCAAAATCAATCCCAACCTTCCTTTAGTGGTATTGAACCTTATGGTAAAATTTCATAGAGATCCATTTACTTAAACTAAAGTTAGAGTGCGAAAACCAATGTGTCTTCGGATGACGACGATGACGCCAACGTCATACCAATATATATACGAACACAAATTTGTTTGCGTCGTATAAAAAAACCTTAGCCGGGTTAGTTTTCATTATTCATTTCTAATCAATTTTCCAAAATTATTCCAGATTCAAATAATTCCTTATTTATAGTAATACACTAATTGCTGATATATCTGTTATATATCTGTTTAAAACAATGTTCCAAATAGGAGACCATCATGCTATTTCAAATATACACACAAAGATGTAGATCAGGATCTAGATTCAGACAGGCTTTCATACACCTTAAAAAATTCCAAATTAGTGTCCAATATTAATTCAAGGTCTGCTTTTTCTAACTCCATATGTACTGCATCTCTAGGCTCTAATTTTGAGGTTGGTCTTGTCACGCTTTTCAAGTATATTTCATAAGCTTCTCCAACAACCTCTCTGAACTTAGATTCTTGTGTTTTATCCAAAGCATAGGGCAGATTATTCATCTTCTCCACAAAATTAATTGTTAGCCACACTTGCATCATTGTTTTGGTATTCAGTTGCTTACCTTCCCAAATTGGAAATTCAGTACTTAGAAGAAGTTTATCAAACTTACAGTTATACAGAATTATTCTAATATTTTTTTCTGTTGCCAAGAATGAGGGAATAAATTTGTCAAACAATGTCTCATCTCTCCTTGATTCACAAAAGGCATTTACGATTGCTTCTGCAATTGCTTGTGATAGTGTTTTGACTTCAACTTTGGATTCCTCAGTTTTAACCTCGACCATGCTTGAATATTTACTATCTTCAACACCTTTCTCGTCTTCATCTTCTCTCAGGCTCAGGCTATCAAGTGCTTCTTCTAGCTCAATTTTAACAACACTTTTTGTAACAAATATATCAGCTCGTCCATGCCATACCAAACTATTTCCTTTAAGAAAGAAGAGACACCAATGAGTAAACTTTAGCTTAATAAGTTAAGTGACAAATACATTAAACTTTATAAGTATTCTGAAAAATTCAGATATTCCCTATACTAGTGTATTTCTTACAGAACCATGTTTTAAATAAATGGGAAATGTGTCCATGGGACACAGATGATGCCCCCGCTTGCATATAACATTATAAAGGAACAAAACTCAAGAACTGTAAAAGTGACGCTACCCAAAGTTGTACTTGATCTGAGTTCTGTGGTAATAAGCATTGTGTATACGTTTCATAACATTTAGTTGAGGCAAACTTCAGTTAGAGAACGGAAACAAAAAATTCAGCAATTTTTCCATTTGTAAAGGGGCATAACTCTAGAACGGTAAATGTGACGCCACCAAAATTTGAACTTGATCTGTGTTTTGTGGTAATTAGCAGTGTGCATAAGTTTCATAACATTTGGCTGAGGCAAACTAAAGTTAGAGAACAGAAACGAATATTTCAGCAATTTTTCCATTTGTAAAGGGGCATAACTCTGGAACAGTAAAAGTGACACCACCAAAATTCAAACTTGACCTGTGTCTGTGGTATTAAGCATTGTGTATAAGTTTCATAACATTTGGTTGAGGCAAACTAAAGTTAGAGAACAGAAACCAATTTAACAAAAAAATTGCCTGGTACAAAACAGTTGAAAGATAAATGTGTCTTAATTTCAAATATGGAAATATATATAATTATATATTAAAAATACCTTCATTTTAGAGTCACTTTCTATACGTTTCATATTCAATCAAAAAACAAAAACTGTACATACATGTGATTCAAATAAAGAACAATAAAATGCTACGCTGGGCACAGCTTGATACAACCATAGAGGTTGAACCCTGAACAGTTGGGGCAAGTATGAACACAACATTCAAGCTTGATACAGCTCTGAATTTGGATTGTGATTAAATATTTGACACAGCATAGGTTTCTGACACAGAAAGAATGTGGTCTAAGAACTTGATTTTTTTTAATTTACCTATTATGGTCCAATCTCAAAAATCAAAATACATGGTTAGATTCAGCATATCAAAGAACCCCATATATTCAATTTTTGTTGAAATCAAACAAAGTTTAATTTTGGACCCCAACTTGGACCAGCTTGAAAACTGGGCCCATAATCAAAAATCTAAACATGGATCTAAACACATGTTTAGATTCAGCATATCAAAGAACCCCAATAATTCAATTTTTGTTAAAATCAAACTAAGTTTAATTTTGGACCCTTTGGACCTTAATGTAGACCAATTTCAAAAACAGGACCCAAAATTTAAAATCTAAATACACTGTTAGATTTGGCATATCAAAGAACCCCAATAATTCAATTTTTGATGAAATCAAACGAAGTTTAATTTTGGACCCTTTTGACCTCAATATGAACCAATTTGATAGTGGGGTCACAAATAAAAAATCTAAATACATTGTAAGATTCAGCATATCAAAGAACCCCATATATTCAATTTTTGTTGAAATCAAACAAAGTTTAATTTTGGACCCCAATTTGGACCAACTTGAAAACTGGGCCAAAAATCAATAAAATGCTCTGCAGGGCGCAGCTTGATACGACCGCAGAGGTCGAACCCTGAACAGTTGGGGCAAGTATGGACACAACATTCAAGCTTGGTCCAATATCCAAAATCTAAATACATGGTTAGATTCAGCATATCAAAGAACCCCAAGAATTCAATTTTCGATTTGGACCAACTTGAAAACTGGGCCCATAATCAAAAATCTAAATACATGTTTAGATTCAGCATATCAAAGAACCCTAAGTATTCAATTTTTGTTAAAATCAAACTAAGTTTAATTTTGGACCCTTTGGACCTTAATGTAGACCAATTTGAAAACGGAATCAAAAATTAAGAATCTAACTACACGGTTAGATTTGGCATATCAAAGAACCCCAATAATTCAATTCTTGATGAAATCAAACAAAGTTTAATTTTGGACCCTTTGGACCTCAATGTGGACCAATTTAAAAACGGGGCCCAAAATCCAAAAACTAAATACACGGTTAGATTCAGCATATTAAAGAACCCCAAGAATTCAAGAATAAACCCCATTGAAATTGGTCAAGATTTTGCACAATACTGTGCAATTAAATATTTCTTGCTATTACGCAATACTGTACAATTGACAATTTCTTGCTATTGCCCAATATTGTGCTATTGGATATTTCTTGCTATTGCGCAAAACTGTGCAATTGAAGATTTCTTGCTATTGCGCAATACTGTGCAATTGAAGATTTCTTGCTATTGCACAATACTTATTATATAATAATTTACACATCCTGTTTGGTGTGTATCTCCTACCATATCATTATTATTTGCTTTTAAATATTAATCAGAAATAACCAACTTAAAATGGAAAATTTTAAAGAAAAAAAAAAGGAAAAAAAGAAAAAAAAAGAAAAAAAAAACCCGCCCCCCCCCCCCCCAAAATTTTTTGAACTCCCTTATGATTCATCACCCCCAAACTCAATCCCAGCCTTCAATTTGTGGTATGGTACCTTGCAGTACAATTTCAGAGAGATCCATACACTTGAACACAAGTTATTGTCTGGAAACTAGAAAAATGCTTATTTTTGGCCCCCAATTCCTTAACGTTTCGACAATTACCCCCAAACTTAATTCCAGCTTTCCCTTTGTGATATGGAACCTTGTAGTACAATTTCAGAAAGATCCATACACTTACACACAAGTTATTGTCATGAAACTAGAAAAATGCTTGTTTTTTGCCCCTTTTTCCTTAAATTTTGAGGCAATTACCCCCAAAATCAATCCCAGCATTCCCTTTGTGATATGGAACCTTGTGGTACAATGTCAGAGAAATCCATACACTAACACACAAGTTATGTCTGGAAGTTACAAAAATGCTTATTTTTGTCCCCTAATTCCTTTACTGTTGGTACCATAACCCCCATAAAATTTCATAGAGATCCATTCACTTAAACTAAAGTTAGAGTGCGAAAACCAATGTGTCTTCGGATGACGACGACGACGCCAACGTCATTCCAATATACAATCACAAAAAATTTTTTGCGGTCGTATAAAAATCTAAATACATGTTTAGATTCAGCATATCAAAGAACCCCATATATTCAATTTTTGTTAAAATCAAACAAGGTTTAATTTTGGACCCTTTGGACCTTAATGTAGACCAATTTGAAAACTGGACCCAAAATTAAAAATCTAAATACACGGTTAGATTCGGCATAACAAATAAATAAATGCGGTCAAAGATTTTAGAAATCTAATGCGCCATACTGTGTAATTAAAGATAACTTCTTGAAATTTTTCAATATTTGAAATTTTCTGAAATCTGAAATGAGAAAAAATTGACCCCCCCCCCCACAATTTCTTTTTACCCCCCCCCCTTTTTTCCTCCAAAAAATTCTTTCCCCCAAGATATGGTCATAATCTCAATTCAAATTTCCAATGGAATTTGCAACCATAATTACCCATTTAAATTTACCATAGTGCTAACTTAATCTATTTTATAATAGAATAGACCAGTTTCACATAAGCGACTAATCAAAGCTGATCTCGAAATCTTATGCGCGTTTGCGTTTAAATCCCGCGATAATTAACGATATCATACGTGACAGGGGGCTACATTAAATTGACTCTGATATATGCAACATAATAATAAATAAACCAATTATACACATCTCTCTCTCTCTCGTGGTGTATGCTGGAGATTATTTTTAAAATTTTACGATATATCAATAATCGTTTATTTTATATATTCAGAATAAATAGTTTGACCTTTTATACAGAGAATAACATAAATTTAAAATAAAATAAAATGCTCCGCAGGGCGCAGCTTGATACGACCGCAGAGGTCGAACCCTGCACAGTTGGGGCAAGTATGGACACAACATTCAAGCTTGATACAGCTTTGACTTTGGATTGTGATTAAATATTTGACACAGCATAGGTTTCTGACACAGAATGAATGTGGTCTAAGAACTTAAAAATTTTAAATTGGACATTCACCTATTATGGTCCAATATCCAAAATCTAAATACATGGTTAGATTCAGCATATCAAAGAACCCCAAGAATTCAATTTTTGATGAAATCAAACAAAGTTTAATTTTGGACCCTTTTGACCTCAATGTGGACAAAGTTGATAACGGGGCCCAAAAATCAAAAATCTAAATACATGGTTAGATTCAGCATATCAAAGAACCCTATGTATTCAATTTTTGTTGAAATCAAACAAAGTTTAATTTTGGACCCCTATTTGGACCAACTTGAAAACTGGGCCCATAATCAAAAATCTAAATATATGTTTAGATTCAACATATCAAAGAACCCTAAGAATTCAATTTTTGTTAAAATCAAACTAAGTTTTATTTTGGACCCTTTGGACCTTAATGTAGACCAATTTGAAAACTGAACCAAAAATTAAGAATCTAAATACACGGTTAGATTCGGCATATCAAAGAACCCCAATAATTCAATTTTTGATGAAATCAAACAAAGTTTAATTTTGGACCCTTTGGACCTCAATGTGGACCAATTTAAAAACGGGGCCCAAAATCCAAAAACTAAATACACGGTTAGATTCAGCATATTAAAGAACCCCAAGAATTCAAGAATAAAACCCCATTGAAATTGGTCAAGAAATAAGCAATTTATACGAAGTATCTTCTTTTGCACAATACTGTACAATTAAATATTTCTTGCTATTGCGCAATACTGTACAATTGACAATTTCTTGCTATGGCGCAATATTGTGCTATTGGATATTTCTTGCTATTGCGCAATACTGTGCAATTGAAGATTTCTTGCTATTGCGCAATACCGTGCAATTGAAGATTTCTTGCTATTGTGCAATACTGTGCAATTGAAAATTTCTTGCTATTGCACAATACTTATTATATAATAATTTACACATCCTGTTTGGTGTGTATCTCCTACCATATCATTATTATTTGCTTTTAAATATAAATCAAAAATAACCAACTTAAAATGGAAAATTTTAAAAGAAACCCCCCCCCCCAAATTTTTTGAACCCCCTTATGATTCATCACCCCCAAACTCAATACCAGCCTTCCCTTTGTGGTATGGTACCTTGCAGTACAATTTCAGAGAGATCCATACACTTGAACACAAGTTATTGTCTGGAAACTAGAAAAATGTGTTTTTTTGGCCCCTTTTTGGCCCCTTTTTCCTAAACGTTTTGGGCAATTACCCCCAAACTCAATTCTAGCTTTCCTTTTGTGATATGGAACCTTGTACTACAATTTCAGAAAGATCCATACACTTACACACAAGTTATTGTCCTGAAACTATAAAAATGCTTGGTTTTTGCCCCTTTTTGGCCCCTAATTCCTAAAATATTGAGGCAATAACCCCCATCATCAATCCCAGCCTTCCCTTTGTGGTATGGTACCTTGCAGTACAATTTCAGAGAGATCCATACACTTGAACACAAGTTATTGTCTGGAAACTAGAAAAATGCTTATTTTTGGCCCCTTTTTGGCCCCCAATTCCTAAGAGTTTCGGCAATTACCCCCAAATTCAATTCCAGCTTTTCATTTGTGATATGGAACCTTGTAGTACAATTTCAGAAAGATCCATACACTTACACACAAGTTATGTCTGGAAGTTACAAAAATGCTTATTTTTGGCCCCTTTTTGGCCCCTAATTCCTTTACTGTTGGTACCATAACCCCCAAAATCAATCCCAACCTTCCTTTTGTGGTATTGAACCTTATGGTAAAATTTCATAGAGATCCATTCCCTTAAACTAAAGTTAGAGTGCGAAAACCAATGTGTCTTCGGACGACGCCAGACGACGACGACGCCAACGTCATACCAATATACGACCACAAAAATTTTTTTTGCGTCGTATAAAAATGTGGTATGATTGCAAACGTGACAACTATCCACCAGCGCAAAATATTGTATGGATTATACAGAGAAAATCTTTAAGGTATCATTGTATGAATATCTAAAGATAAAATGAATGATGGAATTTAAAAATAAAATGTGAGAAGATAGCTCTTATAAAATGCTTTCAGAATAACAACAGAAAATAAAATGCTCCGCTGGGGCGCAGCTTGATACGACCGCAGAGGTCGAACCCTGAACAGTTGGGGCAAGTATGGACACAACATTCAAGCTTGATACAGCACTGAATTTGGATTGTAATTAAATATTTGACACAGCATAGGTTTCTCACACAGAATGAAAGTAGTCTAAGAACTTAAATTTTTTTAATTTACCTATTCAAACCATATCATTATTATTTGCTTTTATATATAAATCAGAAATAACCAATTTAAAATGGAAAATTTTAAAGAAAAAAAAGGAAAAAAAAATCCCCCCCCCAAATTTTTTGAAACCCCCTTATGATTCATCACCCCCAAACTCAATCCCAGTCTTCCCTTTGTGGTATGGTACCTTGCAGTACAATTTCAGAGAGATCCATACACTTGAACACAAATTATTGTCTGGAAACTAGAAAAATGCTTGGGTTTTTTGCACCTTTTTGGCCCCAAATTCCTAAAAGTTTAGGGCAATTACCCCCAAACTCAAACCAAGCTTTCCCTTTGTGATATGGAACCTTGCAGTACAATGTCATAAAGATCCATACACTTACACACAAGTTATTGTCCTGAAACTAGAAAAATGCTTGTTTTTTTGCCCCTTTATGGCCCCTAATTCCTAACATTTTGAGACAATTACCCCCAAAAACAATCCCAGCCTTCCCTTTGTGGTATGGTACCTTGCAGTACAATTTCAGAGAGATCCATACACTTGAACACAAGTTATTGTCTGGAAACTAGAAAAATGCTTATTTTTGGCCCCGTATTCCTAAACGTTTTGGGCAAGTACCCCCAAACTCAATTCCAGCTTTCCCTTTGTGATATGGAAACTTGTAGTACAATTTCATAAATATCCATACACTTACACACAAGTTATTGTCATGAAACTAGAAAAATGCTTGTTTTTTGCCCCCTAATTCCTAAAATTTGGAGGCAATTACCCCCAAAATCAATCCCAGCATTCAAACCCTCAATCAGCATCATTTAACAGTAATATCTAAAAATGGAAATTACATAATAAAGGTATTAAAATAGAAAATGACATCATAGTCATGGCTAAAAATAAACAAAATCCTTAATCAGCAACATTTTACAGTAATATCTAAAAATAAAATTCCTTTGTAACCATAAAAGCCCATTTAAATACATCATGACAGATATTAAAATAGAAAATGACATCATAGTCATGGCTAAACATAGCAAAAACCTTAATCAGCATCATTTAACAGTAATATCTAAAAATAAAAATTTCTTTGCAACCATAAAAGTAAAATAGAAAATGACATCATAATCATAGCTAAAAATAAACAAAAATTTTTTTTATTACCAAATTTTAAATGGAGTTTATTAAACTAAAACAATAAATTTGCAACCATAAAACCCCATTTAAACACCATAAAAGTATTAAATAATTCAACTACATCATAAGGCTATAAAAAAAGAAAATGACTTCATAGTCAAGGCTAAAGGTAAACAAAAAACCTTCATCAGCAAAATTTTATATTGGCAAATTTCCAATGAAGTTTATTATACTAAAATTGTTGGCAAATTTCCAATGCATTTATTAACAATAAAGTTATTGGCAAATTTCCAATTTACATAATTTAAAAGCAGTGTAAGTGAGATATTTAAATGAGTTTGAATTACCAACCTTACACTGCTTTTAAATAATGTTTTGTACTTATTTGTCTATTAACCTGGAAACCCTTGTTTTTCACCTTTTTTTCCCTTATTATTTAAAGGTTTGAGCCATAACCCTACCCCAAAGCCAATTCTTAAATTCCAATGTAACCTAAATTTACAATATACATAACTTCAATTTAAGTTTTTGATAAAATCAAACCACATCATTATTATTTGCTTTTATATCTAAATCAGAAATAATTAACCAACTTTAAGTGGAAAATTTTCACACATCACGCCCCCCCCAAACTCAATCCCAGCCTTCAGTTTGTGGTATGGTACCTTGCAGTACAATTTCACAGAGATCCAATTACTTAAACACAATTAATTGTTGGAAACTAAAAAAAAATGCTTATTTTTAACCCCTTTTTTAGCCCTTTATTCCTAAACATTTGAGCAATTATCCCCCAAACTCAATTCCAACTTTCTCTTTGTGATCAGAATTAACCAACTTAAAATGGAAAATTTTAAAGAAAAAAAAAAGGAAAAAAAATCCCCCCCCCCCCCCCCCAAAATTTTTTGACCCACTTCCCTTTGTGGTATGGTACCTTTAAGTACAATTTCAGAGAAATCCATACACTTGAACACAAGTTAATGTCTGGAAACTAAAAAAATGCTTATTTTTGCCCCCTTTTTTGGCCACTTATTAATAAATGTTTTGGGCAAACATTTTACAATAATATTTAAAACTGAAATTAATTTGTAACCTTAAAATTAAATAGAAAATGACATCATAGTCATAGCTAAAAATAAACAAACTATTGGTAAATTTCCAATGGAGTTTGTTATATTAAAACAATAAATTTGCAACCATAAAAGCGCATTAAAATACATCATAAAAGTATTAAAAAAAATTTAACTACATCATAAGGCTATTAAAATAGAAAATGACATCATAGTCAGACTAAAGGTAAACAAAAAACCTTCATCAGCAAAATTTTATATTGGCAAATTTCCAATGAAGTTTATTATACTAAAATAATTGGCAAATTTCCAATTTACATAATTCAAACATAGTGCAGGTGAGATATTTAAATGAGTTTGAATTACCAACCTTACACTGCTTTTAAATAATGTTCTTTACTCAATTATTTGTCTATTAAAATGGAAACCCTAGTTTTTTAACCTTTTTTCCCCTTATTCCTTAAACGAAAAAAAATAATTACCCCTTTTTTGACCCCCCCCCCTTCCCCCCCAAACCAAGCTCAATAACAGCCTTGCCTTTGTGGTATGGTACCTTGTAATACAATTTTAGAGAGATCCATACACTTGAACACAAGTTATTGTCTAGAAACTAAAAAATGCTTATTTTTCACCCCTTTTTAGGCCCCTTATTACTAAACGTTTTGGGCAATTACCACAAAACTCAATTCCAGCTTTCCCTTTGCAAAATGGAACCTTGTAGTAAAATTTCAGAAAGATCCATACACTTACACACAAGTTATTGTCATGAAACTAGAAAAATGCTTGTTTTTTGCCCCCTTTTGGCCCCTTATTCCTAAAATTTCGAGGAAATTAACCCCAAAATCAATCCCATCATCGACCCTTTGTGATATGGAATCTTGTAGTACAATGTCAAAGAGATCCATACAATAACACACAAGTTATGTCTGGAAGTTACAAAAATGCTTATTTTCGGCCCCTTTTTGGCCCCTAATTATTTAACTGTTGGTACCATAACCCCCAAAATCAATCCCCACCTTCCTATTGTGGTATTGAACCTTATGGTAAAATTTCATAGAGATCCATTCACTTAAACAAAAGTTAGAGTGCGAAAACCATTGTGTATTCGGACGACGACGCCGGACGACGACGACGACGACGACGACGCCAACGTCATACCAATATACGACCACAAAATTTTTTTGCGGTCGTATAAAAATGAGTCACTATGCGTGTTATCCTGTTTAACATCGATGACAATCCCCATATAACATAAAATAGAACACTTTCCTGTTAACTGTAATATATATTATGTAGTAGACAGGGTCCTGGCTCCGTGTTGAAGACCGTACTTTGACCTATAACTGTTTACTTTTTATACATTGTGACTTGGATTGAGAGTTGTCTCATTGGCACTCATACCACATCTTCTTATTTGTATGTACATTTGTTTCAAATATTTCTGCGTCAGTGATGCTTTAGACGGTCATGATAATGAAGTGTGATATAAGGCAGTTTTAAATAAAATGCTCCGCAGGGCGCAGCTTGATACGACCGCAGAGGTCGAACCCTGAACAGTTGGGGTAAGTATGGACACAACATTCAAGCTTGATACAGCTCTGAATTTGGATTGTGATTAAATATTTGACACAGCATAGGTTTCTGACACAGCAAAGAACCCCATATATTCAATTTTTGTTGAAATCAAACAAAGTTTAATTTTGGACCCCGATTGGACCAACTTGAAAACTGGGCCCATAATCAAAAATCTAAATACATGTTTAGATTCAGCATATCAAAGAACCCTAAAAATTCAATTTTTGTTAAAATCAAACTAAGTTTAATTTTGGACCCTTTGGACCTTAATGTAGACCAATTTGAAAACGGAACCAAAAATTAAGAATCTAAATACACGGTTAGATTCGGCATATCAAAGAACCCCAATAATTCAATTTTTGATGAAATCAAACAAAGTTAAATTTTGGACCCTTTGGACCTCAATGTGGACCAATTTAAAAACGGGGCCCAAAATCCAAAAACTTAATACACGGTTAGATTCAGCATATTAAAGAACCCCAAGAATTCAAGAATAAAACCCCATTGAAATTGATCAAGAAATAAGCAATTTATACGAAGTATCTTCTTTTGCACAATACTGTGCAATTGAATATTTCTTGCTATTGCGCAATACTGTACAATTGACAATTTCTTGCTATTGCGCAATATTGTGCTATTGGATATTTCTTGCTATTGCGCAATACTGTGCAATTGAAGATTTCTTGCTATTGCGCAATACTGTGCAATTGAAGATTTCTTGCTATTGTGCAATACTGTGCAATTGAAAATTTCTTGCTATTGCACAATACTTATTATATAATAATTTACACATCCTGTTTGGTGTTTATCTCCTACCATATCATTATTATTTGCTTTTAAATATTAATCAGAAATAACCAACTTAAAATGGAAAATTTAAAAAGAAAAAAAAAAGGAAAAAAAGAAAAAAAAAGTAAAAAAAAATCCCCCCCCACAAATTTTTTGAACCCCCTTATGATTCATCACCCCCAAACTCAATCCCAGCCTTCCCTTTGTGGTATGGTACCTTGCAGTACAATTTCAGAGAGATCCATACACTTGAACACAAGTTATTGTCTGGAAACTAGAATAATGCTTATTTTTGGCCCCTTTTTGGCCCCCAATTCCTAAACGTTTCGGGCAATTACCCCCAAACTCAATTCCAGCTTTCCCCTGTGATATGGAACCTTGTAGTACAATTTCAGAAATATCCAAACACTTACACACAAGTTATTGTCATGAAACTAGAAAAATGCTTGTTTTTTGCCCCTTTTTTGGCCCGTAATTCCTAAAATTTTGAGGCAATTACACCGAAAATCAATTACAGCCTTTCCTTTGTGATATGGAACCTTGTGGTACAATGTCAGAGAGATCCATACACTTACACACAAGTTATTGTCTGGAAGTTACAAAAATGCTTATTTTTGGCCCCTTTTTGGCCCCTAATTCCTTAAATGTTGGTACCATAACCCCCAAAATCAATCCCAACCTTCCTTTCGTGGTATTGAACCTGATGGTAAAATTTCATGGAGATCCATTCACTTAAAACTAAAGTTAGAGTGCGAAAACCAATGTGTCTTCGGATTGACGCCGGACGACGACGACGCCAACATCATACCAATATACGACCAAAAAATTTTTAATTTTTGCGGTCGTATAAAAACGTATCAGAAATACCGGTTTATTTTCAATTTTCAATCATCACACTATAATACAATGCATTCAATTGCATTTATTTTTTGATTCGGTGTTGAAGACCGTAATTTGACCTATAATGGTTTACTTTTACAAATTGTGACTTGGATGGAGAGTTGTCTCATTGGCACTCAAACATTTTTGTACCACATCTTCTTATATCTATTCAATGTCATTTTAATTTCTAAGCTATGTTCACGATCGACCTCGTTTATGCAGAGGTCAGTGCGAGCGGCCAGAGTAATGTTCTACATATTTTCAACTTTATCAGTTTTCATGCCATTAAAAGTAATTGAATATCCTGTATTTAACACGCTTTGACATAAAATAAGATCAAACTGCTGAATGACCCTCCACTAAATTATTAAAATATTCCCAGTGGCATTAACCGTACTGGCCATGATATCTCAGTGTAGATTAGGTACCAGGGTTAACATTTTAAACATCTGTATTAGGGGGATGACCATTTGATTTTGAGGGGGTCGGGATGATTTTAGAAAACTAATATTCTAGTAGGAGTTAATTACTAATAATTATGACCAAGGCAGGAAGGAAAAGAATAATCTGCAACACAAAATGAAGGAAATAAATTGTGTACAAAAGTTGAATAAACTAATCAAATGGTCGCCCTTTTGCAGTAACTGTATGTCTTTTGTGCTGGGATGCCAAAACGTTAATGTTATTTACAAATGTGCCAAAACCTGCAAATCTATTTCAGACAGAAGGAGACGTTTTTTATATCGATAATTGTAAGACTAGTTTTCGTAATTTGTTTTAGAAATTTTAATAAGCATGATAAGTACATAGTTTTATAAAGTCCTTTATTGTTTGATGAAATTTTACCTTTGGTCTCTCATATTTTCTTTTAAGAATGGCATTACTATCTATTTATGTTTTTATGATATATGTAAATATTGTATGTGTATATTAGTGGTGAGACGTTAATAAACTATCTATCTATATATCTATAGAAAAGGGTACATTTTTATCAATTGTCACCTGGTGAGATTGTACAAGGTAAAACGAGGATTCCACATGGCTAAGGTTTTAATTAATTTATGACCTAATACTATGTATATGAAGTGAGCCCCGCTTATTTATCTAATTTATTCTTTCCGTTAAGTGATTAACCTCAGCGTGAATTCGTGACAATTAAATGTACAATTAAAGCCGGGCGGCATATCAGATTGTATATTACTGCAACCAACAACACAGCAGTAGTCCGTTTTAAATCTTTTAATGTGTCATTGTTAATAAAGTTGTCTCGTCGATATAATTTTTTATACTTTGATTCAAATGATGCTCATGTTGCTTGGACTGTAAACACAAACACTTAATCAGATGAATATTTTTTCCAAATCTGCATGGTCACTGCTCATCAACCGTACGCCCCCAGTTGATGAACTCTCGGTAATTATCGCGTGATTTCATAGTTTGGCTAATTAGATTAGACATGCGCAGTTAAATGTGAAACTGGTGTATTTAAAATATAGTGTCAAATCTTTCATATGGATTATTTGTAAAAAAAAAAGATGCAACATTTGCAGATATTTTTACTGGTCTTCCTTTATAAATATGCATTTCTTTAAACATAATTTAAAAGCAGTGTAAGGGAAGTAACCAAAACGTTGTATTTGGATTACCTCCCTTACACTGTTTTAAATTATCTTAATTGTTCATTAACCATTACTTTATACATAATTTTAAAATAGTGTAAGGGAGATAATTTCAATGATGTATTTGATTTATCTCCCTTACACTGCTTTAAATTATGTTTTGTACTAAAGTATTTGTCCATTAACCAGGACAACCTTGTTTTTCCCCCTTTTTTGCCCCTAATTCCTACACGGTTTGAGCCATAACCCCCCAAAGCAAATCCTAACAATCTCTTTGTGGTATGGAAACTTGTAGTATAATTTCAGAGATCCATACACCGTTCCATAGTTATTGTCTGGAAACTAGAAAATGCTTATTTTTGGCCCCTTTTTGGCCCCTAATTCCTTAACTGTTGGTACCATAACCCCCAAAATCCCCACCTTCCTTTTGTGGTATTGAACCTTATGGTAGAATTTCAAAGAGATCCATTCACTTAAACTAAAGTTAAAGTGCGAAAACCAATGTGTCTTCGGACGACGACGTCATACCAATATACGACCGCTTTTTGCGGTCGTATAAAAACTGCATTTTACCCTATGTACTATTTTTTAGCCATGTCAGCCATCTTGGTTCGTGGGCAGGGTCATCGAACACATTTTTTAAACTAGATACCCTAATCATGATTGTGGACAAGTTTGGTTAAATTTGTCTTAGTAGTTTCAGAGGAGAAGATTTTTGTAAAAGATTACAAAAATTTACGAAAAATGGTTAAAAATTGACTATAAAGGGCAATAACTCCTTAAGGGGTCAACTGACCATTTTGGTCATGTTGACTTATTTGTAGATCTTACTTTGCTGAACATTATTGCTGTTTACAGTTTATCTCTATCTATAATAATATTCAAGATAATAACCAAAAAACGGCAAAATTTCCTTAAAATTACCAATTCAGGGGCAGCAACCCAACAACGGATTGTCCGATTCATCTGAAAATTTCAGGGCAGATAGATCTTGACCTGATAAACAATTTTGCCCCCATGTCAGATTTGATCTAAATGCTTTGGTTTCAGAGATATAAGCCAAAATCTACATTTTTCCCCTATGTTCTATTTTTAGCCATGGCGGCCATCTTGGTTGGTTGGCCAGGTCACCAGACACCTTTTTAAACCAGATACCCCAATGATGATTGTGGCCAAGTTTGGTTAAATTTGGCCAAGTAGTTTCAGAGGAGAAGATTTTTGTAAAAGTTAACGGACGATGGACGACGACGGACGCCAACTGATGAGAAAAGCTCACTTGGCCCTTTGGGCCAGGTGAGCTAAAAACCATCACCAAGTTACCTTAATTCTTCTCAAGGTTTCATAGTACACACTTTATTTTGTGTACAAAGTAATTGCATGGATGATAAATTATCACAATTTTAAGATAGCATTGTACTTTAATCATGTTAATCAAGGTATAAAATACCACATCTTCTTATACCAATATAAAGAACCATAATTGTTACTCTTTATTTAAATGAAAGAAACTTGCAATTGTCAAAAACATTTTTTGGATCTAAAGATTTTAATAGCAGGCTAGGGTATTTAAAAATCAATGGGAAAACTAATAAAAAACTATTTTATTTAATTTGGAACACAGTATTTTACTTCAAAATGGCCAGGGGCAATTTTTGTTTTAATACCTTGATTAAGATACAATGAAATCTTACCCTTGTGGTCATTCATGCATAGTTACTTAGTACACGGAAAAAGTATGTACTAAGAAAATAAGAAGGCAAATTCAAGAAATCTGATTGGACGAGAAGTTGTAAGTATGTGCTGAGTGCAATTAGTTTCTCTGTTGAATTAATGAGATGAAACATTGAACTCTAATAAAAAATTATGAGCTAACCATAGAAAAATAAATTATTTATACAAGGAAATTTTTTGAGAAAATTAAGGGGAGATTTTTCAAACCTTATAAGAAAATATGAATATAACAAATTTACTTATATAAGTATATTATTATTTACTTCTTTAAGTGAATTAAAATAAATGGTACAAGTAGTACCCCTGACTGCCATAATACATGTAATATCACCGCAAACAATAAAAAAAAAAAACATTCCTGCTTGAAAACTGTGGGATTTATGATTTATCACAACAAACTATAATTTCACCCAAAAAAATCTTACAACCCAAAATATCTTGACATTTACTATTTTTGTCCCCATCAGAAGGAAACTATTTCTTTCTACAAACTACCCTACTGAAAATGTAAAGTGGGATTTCACTGAAAATACCAGTGGAGTTCCATCAGAGTTCCATTGGAATACCACTGTATTACCACTGGGAAATTTGGTCGGGATTTTCATTGGACATTCATTGTTTTCCATTGGGATATCAGTGGAATATCCAGTGGAATATCCAGTGGGATTCCGGTGAATACTCGAGTGGGATACAGTGGAAATTCCATTGGAATACCAGTGAAAACTTTGTTGGAATACCATTGTTTTCCCACTGGACATTTATTGATTTCAACTGGGATACCAGTGGTAATTCCATTGGAAATTGTAACAATCAACCAAAGAAAACCAGTGATATTTCAATGGAAATTGACAATTCCACTGAAATGTTAGATATCATTTTGCATGCACTGCTTATTTTTGAATGAATTAATAAGAAAACTTGAAATAAGACAATAACCATTTTAATGCAAGTCAACAATTAAAGAAATTACAACAGTTTATACATCATCCACATTTAAGACCTTTTAAACGAAAAGATCAACCTCTTTAAAATATTAACGTTGACAAATTATCATTTTTTAGTCAAAGATGTATTTACTTAATTGTACATGTAAATCATTTTTCTGGTTAAATCATTCATAAATCCATGGTAACTTTTGGTCCTCTTGAAATCTTTCACAAATGGTTTTAATTTTCAATTTTACAAATTTGTTTATTGTGCATTAAACAAACAAAAATGTCCAGTTTACATGCATACGAAATACTTTGTCAGTTTGGTCAGTTTTCTTCATCATCCATTGATATTATTCATGAATTAAGTCCAAAGTTTCTGCATTCCAATCCTGTTCCATTAAGTCTTCATTGATTAATGTGAAAGAAAAAAAATCATACATCATAACATGCATAGAATTTTGAATTAAAATAACATTACAATACCATGCTCCAGTCTGCAATTATTCAAAAATATATGTTACTGGCATATTTTATTTGTGTTTGTGTGTAATTTA